TACTACTTTTGCTATATCTTCAACATTTCACATTCCCTTCATGCTATTAAGTTTGATACATTGATTCACTGAGGCAGAAAGACAGAGTGGAAATTTTTGTTTCTTATCATTAACTTATTCCGTTTTTTGTATTCCGGTATACACATCTACAGGCATATATATATATATATATATATACTACTCAGTTTCGACGGTTGGAGGATGTCATTAATTGTTATATATCTTAGCCATATTAATTGGTGTACGCATGCATGTGTGTGTGTACGTGTTTACATGGAGGAAGTTTTACGTGATTACTCATTTAGTCAAGCATTGCATTACGTATGTTAACACATACACAGTCATACATACTTCAACACCTATAAGAATAAGAATAAAATATGAATAAAGTAAACAGAATAAGTAAGCTTGTGAAGACAAGGATGACAATGATGATGATGATGATGATGGAAGTAATAATGATATTGATAACTTGGGTTCTGGAATGCTATTCCCTTCTGTTATTTTATCTTTGATACGGCTTCCTCCTCATTTAACAAAATAAAATATGGTTCTATTTGTTTGACTTAGATTTTGGAAAAGACACTGATTATATATATATATATATATATATATATATATATATATATATATATATAAACAGAGTAAATAGACGTTGTTTTATGTTATTCTGAGAAAGGCAAATACATTAAACCTGATAACTATTATCCTACAATGTCAAATTCACTGACCGGTTAAACATTACGGCTTGGACAGTTTCCATGGTGCAAGGCCTACTGAAAACCCTTAAAAACCAGATGGTCTCACACTGATCAGATGTGCAGTAGAAAACTGCGTATATGATTATTTTTTTTTCAATTCACAGCTTTAAAATGATATATATATATATATATATATATATATATATGAACCTTTCAAACGAAGTGAGAGCGCAAAGTAAATGAATTGGTTCTGTGTCATTCAAATATCACTGAATACACTCTTAATGAGTTCATTATAGAAATGGCAAAAAAAGGACTGTACTGTTTACACCACTTTGACCTGATTATTATTAAGGTGTACAGTGGACAAAACAACAGCCGGAAGTCCAGTCGTTCTGAAACAGTACTTAAGACTGCAGTTAAACTGATAACAAAAAGAAGTTTCATACTCGGAAATCAGAGAAACTGCCAGAAAATGAATTCTTTTCATCATAGTAGTTTTTCATCATTACTATAGGCCGGCTTGCATAAATAATTAAGTATGACAAAAAATTCACTTACCTTTGTATATTACCTTAGAATGTCACTACATGTTTGGAGACAAAGCACATTAGAATTTAGCAATATTGAAGAATGTTAAGATACAAAAATTCAATAGAAGGAGACAGTTTAATACCATATGGGGAAGAAATATTTTTAAGTGAGTGGGAAAAAAGAAGTAGAATTGAGTGAGTAAAGGCGACTATGTGATCATGTGAAAAACTGAGGAAAGAATAAAGGGAAACTATTGAACAGTTATACAAGGTACGTTTGGATTCAATTAAAAAAAAAATTATTACTACAGCCATTCTAAAAAAAATGAGATATAAAACGTCTTAAAACTTTTATCAGGTGAAAGTGTATGATATATTGTTTCTTTCGGGTCGCTAGCACATAAATGATCTTCACCAGTCTTAAATATTACTTCATTAGATTTGAGTAGCTTTATTCATTTCGACACTGAAGTAGATTGAAAAGAATTGTCTTACTTACTAGTACTCATTGTAAGGAACCAACATGGTACGTTTATTTACTCTACGCAGAGCTCATAGACAGAATAGCTGTTCTTTGCATTGCACCGGTGCTGTCATTAGTGCTGTCAATTTGTATACACAAGTTTAAGTCTTTGGTTCTTCATCTGGTTTGTGACTTATTACAGGATTCAACAGGTTTGCTTTTAGCAATTTCTGGGTATATACACAAAGATAGAGAGAGATGGTGAATAGGACGAAAAGGATGGAGAATAGGCTCTAGTCAGTAGTACTAATTAAATCAAAGTCGAATAACGGTTCAAGAAGTATTTTCACTTTACAAACTTGGTATTGTGCCTTTATTATGCATCCTACATATGAGAAAACTGAAGAAACCTTGTTTATCATATGCTTCACTGTCAATGACTTTTGAAAGAATTTGCTAAAAAGGTAAAAATATGAACTCCTGTTTGTTCCCTTTGTTCTACGATAATTAAAAGAGTTTTCTCTGTGTGATAAAAAGGCGAGGAATTTGATATTCTAAGATTCAGTAAGAACATTTATTGAAAACATCCAAATAGTTATTAGTATTAATCTAGTAATAAGACACGCGTGCAAAATTAGGCAATGTTAACTGTGAACATGTATACAGGTGAAATAAAATGTCTCAGTTTTGTTTTACTCGCTGGTGAAACCTAAAAAATAAGTGGTGAAAACTATTGGGTGACAACCAAAAGAAACATGAGTTTATAAATATAGCTTAAATCTTACTGCGAAACATTATGAACGTAAGAAACTTATCAAAAAGGCTTATCTAAGAAATACACACAAAAATATAGCACACTCTCATTTACTTCAATTGCGAGTCTTTTTTCTTATATGTAACGCAACAGTATCATAGGTAACGGAATTATTTAATTTAAGGGAGGAATTGATATGGACGCTTACTTTTTACTAAATAAGTATTCAATTGAAGGTGAATTGGAAATTTCAGTTACTGTAGGATTATTATTAGTCAAGTACTTTGCAAGTTGAGGTGAGACATCTAACCTTCAAATGCTATCTATTTCATCTACAGTAGTCTGTGAGTTTGAAGTATTCTCACCATCAATAAAGAAGTATGCATTTCCAGAAAAACAAAGTTGATTAGTTTAATTATTTTGTGATTCATTATCCAATTTTTATGTATTTAGTTAACCACTGCAGTCGAAACAATTTGCCATTTGAAAGCATGCTTTTTCCGCCCGTAGGTTAACATAAGAGTTAAATGATTCATTTATGCATCCCACTAGTATGAGTGATATACATATTAGACTAGCTGATGAGTACTTGTATTGATTTACCAGAATCAACTTGATGCTTGGCAACAGGAATATCTTTCGCATACAACTGAAAATTTTTAAATGAATATTAAACATAAACGGAATCTAGAAGCAGTCAGTGGGAAATATGATACAGATAGGTAATAAACTGTTTATTTGGTCGCTTCAAGAAACTGGTATTTTAGGGAGTTTCTTATTTACTTTCGCTAACAGCTGATTTTTACACATGCGGTTTCAACAAAAGTCACTTTCTGTGGATACGGAATGTGTGAAACCACATGGCAAATCACAATGAACATTAAATAATGGCTAGATCAAAGTGCTTTTGGTCTTGCTGGCTGCATTCTTTAACAAAGACATTTATTATTATTATTAATAATAATTATTCGTGGCTTTATGTGCAAACGAAGTGTAATAATAAAGGATAATATTTATAAGCATAATAACCTTAAGGTTATTATCCCAATTAATAGTTCTGTAGTAAATCAAATTAAGGCAAATATTCACTTAAGCGCACACTTATATAGGAATGCTAACTAAATAAATACACTCGTAATTGTAGTTCATTCCGGGCAACCTCATAAAATAAAGTGTCCAACAGTTAAGTAAAATTTTAGTATAGCGAAAAACCATCCGTAACTAAATTTAGATGACCTTTATCGAAGTGAAGAGTGTGCATAAATTCTCTGTTATTTACACAATGCCTGTTTATTATTAAAATAATCTTGATTTCTACCTAATTTGTGGTTAACTATTTATGCAAACTTTTACTATCGATACGTGAAAAAAAAACCAATAGCTTGTAGAATCACTACCCTCAGGTCTTCTCTTAGCTTGAACACATAAGTTGTGTCTCTCCCTTTTAGCTGTTTTAATTCACAATATTACCGTCCAAGTAAAATGAAAGAGAAACGTGTCATCTTGATTGCCCATAGGTTTAAACATAATCAACAACTATCTATACAGAGGCGTCTATATGGTTTTTATTCCACACAGACTTAGAATTATCACACTCAAAGTTTCCATATAGTTCAGCCAGATCAGTAGCTAAGAGAAAATGGAAGGCAGTCAGTGTTTTTTTATTCATTAGGTTGTAACCAGATTCAAATCCATACAGTCATAGAGTCATACTCTGACTTCATCAAATCTAGTTATTCTGAAAATGCATTCCCATCTGATCTACTCACAGTGAGAACGAAGTGAGACTCGGCGTATCGGTATTGCGGTCAACAGACATAAACTGATGAGTTGTTAGATTAGCTGACTCAATCGCTGATTTAAGATATAAACGTGCTTAGGATCAAGTAATGACTGAACAACTTTCGTCATTTTAGTTGGCTGACACACTTTGGCATACTGTGGCTAATACTGCAGAGTGACAAATGCTGTTGTGTTCAGTTGTTGGTGCTGAACGGATTCTGTCTGTGAAGTATGCAATGTTATCAGCAAGATGGCAGGGTCCCCGTCGACGAGGAGAAACAGAGGGGCTTCTGTTTACCTGTAAATAGTGTTTTTTGGCACTCTTCAGGAAAACGTACGAAGACTGAACTACATCACCTTTTTGATTTCAAGTCACTCTCTGAGCTTTTGACGTTATATTAAGAGAAAACAATATGTGCGCCTTAGCTTCGGCTCTCGAATTATTGTGGACTGGAAGCTTGACAGCTAATCTGACAATAAAACGAAGTCTCCAATAAGATTGATTTCGCTTATTTGTTTGTCTTCTAAAAGTGAGATAAGTATGGGAAGGTAAAACGCCCTCCACTTGAATTTTAACTCAATCCTAAAGGCCTTAGATTTCCCCCTATAAATAATGCATATCTCACGTCATGTTACAGGTGCAAAGGAATAGCCACAGCGCTGCATGTTCATTTGTATTTAAAAACAACTGTTATTTGAAATAACCTTTAATTTTTTTAATTGTGAGCCAAAGTAACACTTTTCCCGCCATATTTTTTCATATACAGCTTCTATCAAGGATATCAGCTGAGTATGAGTGACTTGAGAAAGGCTACTTCTGCATCGAAACAAGCGGCAGGCTGTTTGTTTACCAACTTCGAAGATGTTCGCGTAAGTCAGTCATAATTATACTTAATTCGTGGAATGTGATAATTATATTTCTTTCTATTAAATAAAAACTGACAAGCACTCGTGTTATAATTAAAATGTTTCCCATTTCCCAGGAGGATTTCTATTGCCAGTAGGCATTTATAATACTAGTAACTTAAAGTGCACATAATCTAAATATAGTTTATACCATAGTACGTCAACAAGTAACAGACTGAATGTTAACAACATTCACACTAGACAGTCTAGAAAAAGGCTTTGTCTTAAGGTGTAGGAGAAATTAATGCCATTTAGTTTCACAAAGCCAAAACAAACTGATAGTTTCCAGATTTCTGAGAAAGCGAATAATAGCGTCAAGCAGTCCAAAAAATGCGGGAAATAGTTGAGTAATCTGTTCCAAGGTGGAAATTGAAGATCTCGATTTCAGATACTTTCATCAATAGTAAAGGTAATGAGACCAACCAGAAAATTCATAGAAATAGTGAAACTTTGCTATATTTTCTGGAGTTTAACGTCAAATAAATAATATTCAAAATACTCGGTCACTTGTAGTAGCACTCAGGTTTACTCAGTAACAGGGTTAAAATGCAACAGCAGCTGAAGGAATTTGAAAACTAGGCAATATTATTACATCAGCACTATAATTTTTCAGATAATGTGAAAATGAGTTGTCTCAATTAATTTCAAATTAAATTTTAATGTTTCAATAGGTTTAATGTCAATATGTGATTGAGATGAATAGATGCACTGTTTTTTAACCACACTTTATTGTTTTTTCTCTGTCAGCTTTACATTTCTTGAAACCTTAACAACGTTTTGGAGTACTTTCACTTTTTGAGTCATCTGTGATGAAATTTCTTCTCTCAGTGCTTTCAATTCTAAAAACAAATTATAATACCTGCATTTGCTATTTAGAAACAACCTTTCGTTGAATAAAAAGTATTGTATACAGGTTCAGCATGAATCGTTGTCTTTCATACATTTTAGCGAATTAGTTTATGAAGAGTTAAAGGATGTCATATGCTAAAAGAACGTTAATTGTATCCAGGCCCAGTGATGTTTCCCTGGATGTGCTATGCCGCATAGCCGCATTCCTTCCACCATCTGAATACCTAGGAAATTAACTCTATTTATGACAATGGTTTCTAAGATTTGCAGTCACTTGGTTATACTTAGACGGCTTAGTAAGAACCTTAAGTGAGAAGAATTTGTGATTATGACGTAAGAAAGAATGCTGTTTTCACACAGTAGAGTACAGAAGAATTGCTGGGTTTCCGCTAACAGAGAAGGTCTGCCTCAGAGATGGTAACAGTAAATGTCTATCAGAACAATAAGCGATCAGGTCTGTGGGCTTTTAAGGATTTTCAGATTTCGTTAGGAGTTAATATCAGCTAGAGGATCAGGAAAATGTATGATACAGTAGATGGCATTAACAACGGCTAGTGACGCAGCTATATCTTGAATTGACAGTAGTTAACATTCATGGGTTGATGTGTACTAACTTAGCAACCTATAGGTCAAAAATCTCACCTTGCAATCTAAAAGTCTTCCATATGATTCCTAGGAAAATCACTTTTTGACAACTGTATATTGTTCTGTGGTTTCTTCAGAATTTGTAGAATTAAAACTGAATCTATTCACCACCGAGTGGTCAGGAATCACGGCTTTCTTTTTGTGAATAACACAGAAACACGACTCTGACATGTACTCTTTATCATACTGTGTATTCAAAAACTGGTATTTTAATTTTAAGAAGAGAAGATGAGTGTCAGTGAATTTCGCTAATTGCAATTTTCAAAGTTAGTTCGTTAAACGATATTAATCTTGCTTAATTAACATTTAAATGATGGTAAGAACAAGTGTTTGTATTTAGTTGTATATGTGTAGAAAGTGAAGTACTTACCGCTGACTAATCTGTCTACTAAATTAATTATTCGAACATAACTCAAAGTGGTGCGGAATTAATAAGCGTAATTGGAGATTAATTTATGCAGTGAAGAGAGGAAAAGTTACACCAGAGATGAGTCTGAAAAACAACTGGAAACCTAACTACCTTTTATTTACTAGTACTTCGCTTAATTTGTAGAGCGGCTAAATCGACATAGAGACAGTAGTTTTTCAGTGTATTGTGGACTGTTTGTTCAGTGTAGTGAAGATAAGTTTGGTTCATACTTTTCGAAGTGAAATATCTTCAGACAATAAATAAGTCCTATGGATATTAATCTAGAGCAAGCATAAATCTCTGTGTTTCAGGTTTACCACGTAGAAAGTTTGCACAGAAGAAATCAACTTGTTCTGCAGTTGTTTTTTACACAAACAACCTTTGTGTGCACAGCGTTTATTTATGCTTACTTAATTAGGCAAATACACAAGATTCATATTAACATCTGACAATAAAACTAATCCTGTCGAATGTCTTTAATCTCAAAAGAAAATGAAATTCTCTGTTGCCTTTTAATGCATTGCTCTAATATCCATTTTTTACCATTTTGGGGAAGAGGATAGGTTTCTTAAATATTCATTCTCCCGACTCAAAGTTGATGTAAGTTGAAAGAAAATAAAGTCAACTCATTAATTTACACTTCAGCAATATATCAGTGTGTAATTTTGTGTAATTTCACATGGTTGACCATCCCAAGTTCAGTGGGCGTTCAAAAAATAATGTCAATGGTCAATACTAATGGACAAACAGAAAAAACAACATACACATCTCAACGCTCAAGAACTAAAGGCCCTCAAAAAGCTGAAAAATAGGAAGGACATCATCATTCTACCAGCCGACAAAGGAAGAACAGCAGTAGTCATGAACAGAGAAGAATACACCAAGAAAGCTGAATAACTACTCAAAGATGAAGATGGATATCAACTACTCTCAACAAATACCATGCAAACATTGGATAACCGCATCCACAGGACCTCAGAAAAGCTCACCAAAACTGGACAGATCACAAAACAAGATCAATGGCGAATGATATCCAATGGACCAGTCCTACCTCGATTCTACGGCAGACCCAAAATACACAAGGTAAATATCCCGTTACGACCAACTGTATAACTCCCAGGAACTCCAAAATATAACTTATCCAAAGAATTATACAGAAAACTGAAACACCTAACGGAATCTTGTGATCACTCGATCAACTCAGCTATCCAATTCCAAGAGAAAATCAGAGGCATCCAAACAGATGAAAAAGAAATAATGGTATCCTTCGACGTGACAGCATTATATACCTCTATCGGCCAAAAACTAGCATAAGAAACCATGGAACAATTACTTAGCAACGACGAACACCTTCCACAACAATCAAAAATGCAACACACAAGCTGGATGGAATGCATAAATCTATGCCTAACAACATACTTCCAATTCAACGGCCAAATATATGAACAAGTCAAAGGAACACCCATGGGATCGCCAATATCAGGTTTGATTGCAGAAGCAGTGATGCAAAGACTCGAAAACATAATTCTACCAAAGATCAAACCCAAGATTTGGATACGATACGTCGACGACACATTTGTAATAATCAAAAGAAACGAGTTAGATAAAACTCACAACTTAATAAACAACGTCTTCAACGACATCAAATTCACAAGAGAAGAAGAATCCGAGAACAAAATACCATTTTTGGACGTCTTAGTCAAGCGAACAACCACAGGGGAGTTAGAAACTCAAGTTTATAGGAAATCAACTCACACAGACCAAATCCCAAATTACAACAGCAACAACCCAATAACACACAAAAGGAATTGCATACAAACACTATTCAAGAGAGCAAGGACTCATTGCAGCACTCCCACCTTAAGGAACATTGAAGAAAAGTATCTCATGGACGTCTTCCAAAAGAATGGATATCCACGGAATTTCATCAAAAGACATATACCCCCAAGCCAACCTATCAAAGCAAAAGCCACCAAGGAAAGCACAAAGAAAATCGCCTTACCATGTATAAAGGATAGCTCAGAAATCACTACAAGACTCTTCAAACCTTTAGGAATTGACGTCGTACACAAACCAACAAAGTCTCTTCACTCAATTCTATGTCAACCAAAAGACTCAACAGTGAAAGAAGATAAAATTAACATCATCCACAAAATAAATTGTAACAACTGCGAAAAACACTACATTGGCCAAAATGGACGTCCCCTTCGTCTTCGTATCCATAAACATAAGCTAGCCGTCAAAAGACATGATATCTACTCCCTCATATCACAACAAACAGACAACCACGAACATCAATTCGACTGGAACAACGTTCAAATATTAGACAGAGGAAACAACAAGAATGCTAGAGAATTTTTAGAAGCTTGGCATTGTAATGAATCATCAATCAATAGACACATAGAGATAGACAAAATTTATCAACCAATAAGAAAGAAACTTCACACACGATTGGCCAAAGTTCAAGTCAAAGAAACAATCAGTTCCAATACAAGTAGCCTAGAAAGTGTGAAAAAACACAAAAACAACCAATCACGTCCAAGGACACCAGGAGAGATGATTAGTAAACCTGCGGAGAAATCTAAAAGCTCACTTCAAATTGAAGTATGCGCTGAAGATGTCACCTAGTAGGGTGATGAAAGCTTCGCAAATTAACTATCCAGCTCAGAGAACACAACCACATTAATAACGTCCGTAAAAATGAGTTCTGATGGATGTGAACTAATGTTACTCGGTACTGAAATCTGGACTAGATTCTATGTCCTGAATAACAACCGGACGGTAATCAACCTATGTGTTGTGCAGCTGTTTTTTCTTTTACAGCTTGGGGATCATCGGAGGCAAAGACTTCATTCAGCACACTTATAAATGGTCTATTTAGTCGTATTTATTGACATCGAAGTAGTCTAAACTTTCTGGCCTTGTGCATTGAAAACTATCGATGAAACCGTATTCCATGTCGGGAGCACTTGTGTAGAGCAGTAAAAACTGCTCTACTTCCACCTCAGATGACTCCTTGTTCAAATATTTTCCGGTGTTCATTTACCCTTCCAAAGCTTCACATATTTTTTGCCGATGTGCATAAGATCTTAGATGTGGTCTTTTTAGCTATAACCTCCAACCAACCGACCAACATAAGGAATATTATTTTTTTCCCACAACTTATTTTTTTATCTCATGTTTCACGTAACTTAATTATCAGATAAGACCTATTTAGTTAAACACTAGATATTTACTAAAATAAGCAGACTAATTTATATAGCAGTTGAACATTTAATTTCCTGTCGACTGTAAAGCAAAATATTTTTTACAAGGTGATTTTGTACACACACACGCGCGCGTAGCTAAGACTGATTAATTGGTTGTAAACACTTAGAGAAACTTTCTAAGGAAACAATTGTTATTCCAGTTTTGTCGTCAGAAATTGAAATCACCAAACTACGTGTGTTTTTATTTAGAGCAAAGTTGGATGCTGAGATGATTGAGTAAATAGTTTGCTGAAATTATTTCATTCACACCAGTCACCAGATGATTGTATAAGCAAAAATGTCGTGCTGATGAAAGCTTCTATTGTCAAGATTCTCTCTGTTAACCACCATCTTCCTCTTTGGTAAGCAGTCAGCTGCAGCTGAGAAATCAAAGAACACTTCTTGAATAAAGTAAATGTTTGACATCTTCAAATGCCAAAGTGGCTTTACAAACAAATTGTTATTATCTCAAATAATTCAGAATAAAAAATAGAGTACATTTATGACAGAGGAAAAATCTGATTCACTATGTTACCAGTTAATTCGAATAGCTACGAGGAATTCCAGTGGTTTGACGGCATCTAACTCCACCCTAGTACAACACACATAAACCCATCCTTAATTAAGCAAAATTACTGTCCACCGGTCTGATCACTTTGATTGTGTTAATAAGTATTGGTGATTGATATGAATATCTTACACCTAGTAATACCAAACATCAGTACACACTATCATACTATCATGCTCCCTTTTTCAGTGCTATTTGTAGTATTAAACGGACAACATACGGTGAACTGGATATTTTGGATGGAAAGTTCCCCCCTCGAACTGTGTTGTTCACTGGTATCTGTGATGAAAACCGTAACCTTTATTGTACGCCCATTTATTGAGTAAACAATATTTCAGTCTGTTAACCCAAAACTTGACTTTAGAATATCATTATATTATACCTAGTGAAAAGTCATTTTTATGCTTTAGGTTCAGGATAATCAAATGACGAACACAAAGCTACGCATATGAAGGTTAACCTGACTTGTCAAAGCACATGGGAAGTACATGTTCCGTACAACAAACTCTTATGCTTTTGTACTTCCTTTAATATATGTTGTGAAATATTTGAACAGAAACCAACTTTAGGTTTAATGCCGCTTCCCGTCTTTATTTTATTAATGCCTAAACTGTCATTACTTAATACCGTTATTACTATTACCTAACTGTTCCTAAGTTTTAGTTATGCAACAACTACTGTTTCATTTAAGGACTGTCCATTATCCTTATGCGGAAGGTAATAAGGCTTTTAGTGAATAGTCTAGCTAACATCTGTAAATTTTATGATTAAAAGAGGAGATTACATCTGTTCACCTAATCACCAACATTTCATGTGAATCAAATGGAAAGGTAAAAGTCACATGACTATATTTAGAGATATCAGCTAGTCTCATGAAAAATGATTAGATAGTATGTGTTCAAGGGATAGATTATATATTGACCAGTATACACAGAGTTCTCACACGCACACACATTTTAATACATTACATCGATAAGGAAAACAAATGGTTATTACACTTCGGACTGTTGAACAAAAAATAAACCACGCTAACAATAAGCAGTGAAAAATTCCAAGACTTTAAACCCAGTTTCTGTAGTTAGTGATAGTGAGAGTGCTGTCAAAATAACTTTCTTTTCTACGTAAACAAGATCTAACAAACAGCTATATAAATAAATAAATCAAAAATTCTGATTTTATCCTATTCACTTCATTTATCATTCTTTTTGCAAGCCTTCATTTTCCACTGTAACTTTATCACTCAGGCATACTGTTAGGAGTCAGTTAACCATAACAGATTTTTTCCACATACCAGGCTCTCATTGTGTGAGAGGAGTCGCCCGGACTTAATTCTATCGAATAGAATCCGAACCGAGAAGCTACTGGCTAAAAGTCAAGTGCTATAGTTATAGGATAATGTGTTAATAAGAATGTTACATACTTTTCTGAAAATTTAACCTCACTACGCTTATCGCATCGGTGATAAATAATGAAATTAAATATGAAGTAAATTACGAGAACGATAGCTTAAATTAAAAGTTCAACTATATTCATATCCAATTCCTACTTTAGATAAATAGTTGTCATGAAAAGGAAGAAGAATTTCTTATTTTACAGTCCTACTGAGTCTCGTTTAGCTACATGTAGTACTTATTTTATCCAGATTAATTATAGCTGTGCGGAATTTTTATCAGTAAGTCTATCTACTTACGAATCAACAGTCACATGCCAAGATGTTCAGGGATTCTACAGGAAGAACTAGATTTAGTGAAGCTTAGCGGTTCATGAATCCCCTCTACAACAATTATAATGATAATAATAGTCGGAGAATCGTACATTTTCTCAAGGGAGAGCATAATTGTGTCCCACGCACCAACCAGTAAATAAGACTGTTTCCTTTTAAGATAAGGCGCTAACTGGCGTTAGTTAAAAACCATTGAACACGTGACGGGAGCCCCAGCGATTAAATACCCATCACCCCACTGGATATCTAACAAAGACCCTCAGTTAACCAGCTGAATCCACCAACCGTTCAGTGAGTGAAACAGACTCTAATGATCTATGAATTCCAACTTCTGTCGATTCGTGAAGACTAGCACCATAGCTAACTAAAGACATTGAGAATATCCGCCCTCACACGCATCTTAATGACATCTACTGGCCACCAGATCTCAGTATAATCTCAGAAATTCTATCATTAGTGAGTTGCTAATCAGCGTTATTCAATCTTTAGGTTTTTCTTAAAGAGATTTCTGTTCATGATTCACATAACTTGAAACCGATCGAATCCTTCCGAATCAATACTTCAAAATAATGTTTCACTTTGTGATATATCTAATAAGCAGACTATTACGGATTAAATGAGGTTGTTGAACTAGTAGGTTAGGAAATTATAGACTAATTTTTGTACAGAAGTGACTATAGACTGATAAAGAACAATCTGATATATCTGGTTAGTTTACCGGGTTACAAAGATCAATCTGAAGGTATAATACCGAGTACCACCAAGAATAATAACTTCTTAATGAAGTTGGAGCTGAAGATATTAACAAGCCGCGTCCACAATCAAATAATAGTGCTGAGGAAATAAAAAGAAACAAGTACTGTCGTCACCATGATTCAGAAGGCTTCTCCATTATTTTACACGTATAGGTCACTTAGACACAAAGTAAAGGATTTACATGTAAGGAAAATGATTCACACAAAATAATGAAGATCAGAAGAATTATGAATCGCACTGTTTTCCGAAGCCAACCGATTAACCAATAAACATGTCTGTATACATGTTTTCAGATATTTTGAAAACTCTGCTACCATTAAGAACAAAAAGAATATTAAGAGTATTAGTTGTGGTCATGGTGTCATACTGGCAAATCAAAATCATGTCATTTATGTAATAAACCTAATAAACAGACAAAACCTTTAGAGTTACACACCATCAAATTTCCTAGACTTTGACGATGAACAAATTTTTCTTTTAAAATAATGTGGCTTTTAAAACACCGAACCGAAAAACTTTAATCGATGTTTTACTCTCACTTTTATATAATTTGTACACATTAATTCCCCTATGTTGATAAAAATTAAGTAGGTAATTGCATCTTTAGGTATATCAAGAAAGTGAATACTGAGTTTTGAAGTTAAATGAATTGAAGATTCTCTCCGATGAAAGTCAATTCAATATGTACATATACTGTTGTCTAAACTATTGGCATAAATTAGGTAATTACTATTGTACACGCAATTTTTCATATGATTAATGACACTCCTAGTCATCATCACCTTTATATCGTTAGCACTATAAATTTATAGTGTAAACTCATCACATATATCATTAGGAAACCGAATCCAGTGATCATTTCTTCGGCTACAGTATTTCTGTGACTAGTTGAAATTTACGTTACCCGTATAATATATATATAAAGCTATGGAGAGTGAATTATTGTCTACCGTCTGACTATTCTAGGACAAAGATGATCATGAAAAATATTAAACATTTTATTTGAAATATTATCAAGAAAAAATCAAATCAGTGTATCCCATGACAACTTGATTTTCAAGCCCAAGTCAATCTACTATTATCCTTCTTTTTTTATCGATTATCAAAACTAATGAGCTGTTTATTTCTGACCTGTATGAACACCCTACAGACAATTTATTACTTATACACATTATACTTTGTTCAAATGATAAAAATTGTTTGCATAACGACATAATTCACAAGACTAGCTTATTTTGCTTAAAAAGGCGCAAGCAATGCATACAAGAATGACTGAATTACTGAAAACAGTGTACACTAAGACTTTTCGAAAGCTTTTGAAATCTTTCCAATAAAACACGATCACATGTGTTCACCGTTTTTCGTTCATATTATTATTGACGGATGTTGATGTGTGAGTGCTTCTGTACGAGACAGTTCAATAATTAACTATTCAATCCGAAGTGTATATTCGATTGAGTTTTTAAAGCTTACGGTTAACTGAAGGAAGGGTAATTGAGGGCAATAAGAAAAGATCTAAAGGTTAATAATAAAAGAGATCTCTTGATTTATGAGAAAGTTTTCATTTTGATAGTTTAACTGACAGTCATACAGAATGAAATACTGAATTATTTCCACTACACCAGGTTATTTAAAATATAATTTACAATTTATCAACGCTTATTATATTTCAAACTTTATCTTCTAGCTAACAGATGAAGAACGCGTCTACCTGAATGCGGCAGCTACAGGTGATATTGGCATAATTCGTATGTCGTTGGAAGACTCCGATGATTCAGTTGAATTCAACGTAAACTGTGTTGATTATATGGGGCGTAATGCTTTACACCTTGCAGTTGATTCTGAAAACACTGATGTTATGGAAATGTTGCTGGATAAGCTGAATTTCGAATGTATTGAAGAGGCATTATTACACGCAATTAGTAAAGGACATCCTAAACTAGTTCGAGTTATCATTGAACACCCTAATTACCAAGCTGGTGAGGATCAAATCAAGAGAATGGATTCAAAAAATGCATTTTTTCGTACAACAGAAAAAAGTCAGTTTTCTCCAGATATTACACCACTCATCTTATCAGCACACTATAACAATCATGAAATGGTACAAATGTTCCTGTCGCGCAATCATACAATTGATAAACCACATTCAATATCCTGTCAGTGTAATGACTGTCAAGTTAGACAAGATTATGATTCATTGAAACGCTCAAGGTCAAGGTTAAACGCCTACAGAGCCTTAGCAAGCCCAGCGTACATGGCATTAAGCAGTCCAGATCCTATAATGACAACATTCCAGTTACGTCAAGAAATGATGAAACTGGCTGAAATCGAAAAGGAATTTAAGGTAAGGCTAAAAATGAATGAACATAGATTTACATTTATTTATTTATTTCGTTTGTAATGCCAGAGGCGTAATGGGCACTTCAGTGTTACTTGAGCACATTTATATCTAGGTGAGAAGTGAAGCACTGGGTACTTTAAAAACAGATCAAAATACTTCTTTTTTTATCAGCTTTAAGCATAGTGTAATTGAGATATAAACAACAACCATGTTGTGTGGGAAACAACCCGAACAAACAGGGCTATTTCAGCCCATTGGTTGTTTAATGCAAATTACTGTCTACTGTGTGCTGAAACTCTGTTAACCTACAGGCTTCCAAAAGAGCTTTAAATTATTGTTATCTACTGAAATTTGAAAATGGCCAGCAACGCGGTTTAGTTAACTTTTACCGACTAACTGACTAGCTAGCTAACCAGCAGAGTATAGTCAGATTTGATGTCTAGAAACAAATCAAATACAAAATATATCCAGCTTCGCAACAATATACGATACTACAGATTTCTTATATATATACATATATATATATATATATAAATTCAAACTCCAGATGTCTCTAAAGTGATGAAATATTTTCCCAGTGGAATTCAATTACTATTTTTTGGTATATACCTAATTAACGTTACTTTATGATTGCGCATTACACCATCTGTCATTGTTATACATAGGAATAACCAGAAAACATGAAAGAAAAAAAGAAATCGGTTTTCAAAATGCAGGTGACTGAATGGTCGCATTAATTGTATTGTAGGTTGAAATTCTTGGTTTTGTACACACGTGTGGTTTCTCTTTTGATATATTTACACTAGACGAATATATATACATATATATCCTCGTACTAGAGGTATAGTAATCTTACCCAGCGTTTGAGGTGAATGTCGATGATATTCCAGTCGGTTAGATAACTGAGTTAATACAATCATTCGAACATGACTTACTGACTGATAAATATACTAACCTATGCAAGCTGAACTAGGTCGATTTTAGTTCATCGAGTAGAAATGAAGATAACCTTCAAGGCGAGGATGACTGCGAAAATATGCATTCAGCATGTTTAGTTAGTGACACAATAGTTGAATGTACATAGATTTACATTTATTTATTTCGTTTGTAATGCCAGAAGCGAAATGGGCACTTCAGTGTTACTTGAGCACATTTATATCTAGGTGAGAAGTGAAGCACTGGGTACTTTAAAAACAGATCAAAATACTTCTTTTTTTATCAGCTTTAAGCATAGTGTAATTCAGATTTAAACAACAACCAGATTGTATATTTGGTTGTGAATCGGTGGCACAGCGGTTAGGACTGTCGCCGTCCATGCACATGGTCCGGGGTTCGACCCCCAGCCGACGTACACCTGATATCTATGGTCGGCCTGCAAAATTTGGGCTACTGATATCACATGCTGAAAATTTCATACTTGTACCAAAAATACGGTGTGGAATCAAGCTGTAATAAAAAAATAGTTGTCGACAAAAATTATCCATCCAAATAATCGAAAAGTTTTCTTGTAATGGAATACAAAAACAGATAACATTCTGTTGGAACTTTTGATACATTCAAGTGCTCAACAAAGTTTGATACTAGTGTATGCATTCTGCAGCGGTAAAAAATTATAAGATACCTCTTATTACCTTAACAGAATATTTTATTAACTGATTGGTTGTGGACAAACCACAGATGAAAAAAAACGGCACTTTAATAAGGACCCGCTAGTAGACCCACTGAACCACACATTCCGAATTACTCGAAATTGCTTCGTGTTTGATAAAGTTCCTCCACCAGTTAGAATTTCATGATCATATGTATGAACACACATGTGTCCAGTATTTACAAGCGAAACATATTCCCTCTGCTTTTTAAAATATTTGGTTACTATTTTCACTTTCGGCATCGGAACCACAACACATGGTGTTATACCACAATTTTTAAGTCATGTGTAAATATTTTAAACTTGTGTACATAACGATACTATAGCCACTTTTAAGGCTAACGCTAAACGCAGGTGCCTTCGCTTACCAACATTCTGTTTAGAAGGAAACTATGGTTCCTCAAAAAAGTGCCTTCAGAAAAAACAGACTGATAACATGTTATTTTTCTGCTGAAGATGGGCAGTAGATTTCATGTTCATTTCAGTCTGTTATATTAGGCTGATTTATGAATAAAGCATAAATTTAAAAAGTCCAAGTACGTCTGTTATCATCGTGTTTAAAACAATTGTTTTTTATAAAAGGTTGGTTACATTTGTTTCTTCGGAAAATCTGGTTTTAAACCTGGGTTTTTCAAAAACCTATTAAAAACTTGATGCATATATCCACACGAGCTTTCTGTAGTCTTATTTTAGGTAGTACTGACAACAGAAATATTTGCCTAACATGCATTTGATGTTTACTGAAGACTAAAGTAATTCATCCTAACATTCATAAAGTAAGGCAGTTAGCTGAGGAACGTTTTACAGCCAGTAAGCAGTAGTTAGGATATGTATTTCTCAGTGGTTTGGAAACCACCCATTATCCTGCGCTGGAACAAACTGATGGCTATTATTTCTCTCATTGTGCATGTTTTTATTCGACCAGTTTTAATCATTTTCCTTATCTAGATCTATACCCAAATACTGACTCATTATAAACAAATAAATGTGGATCTTTGTCAATCCCCCTTCAATATCAGACACAATATTATGAGGGACAGAGAGTCAAATGTAAGCGAATTAAGGATGGCATTGTAAGCAGTAAATGTTAAACTGCATGACTGAGAGATGTATGTCCGTGTATTTGGCTTTAATAACACAAACGAGTCTGTCATAATCAGTGGACAAACAATTACATATTCCTCGTATTACATACTTCGTGGAAATATATTTAATTGCTTAGTCGAGTGAACCGTCTTCAGACATAATGAAATAATACAATAGCGGATTCAAGAGTGTAGTATATTCGTACAATGTATTTCACCCATTCTGATTACGCACGTACTTTTCACACATATTTATGTGTATAGCAGTATAAACCTGAAAAGGAATTTACCATGAATCAAAATATCTTCTTAATGTCGACAAATCAGATAAAAGATAGGAGAGAAAGGTGGCAATTTTATCGTTTACAATAATCCTTGATTAGAAAATTGTATTATTGTATTTCAGAGTAGTAGTAAAGTTTTTATAATTTATGGATAGGACCTCAATAAATTTGACTATCTGATCTGAATCCAGCCTACAGGTGGTTTCAGATGAACTGTTAAAGACATATTTATAGACCGTTTCTCTGAGACGTGTTTCGCTTAGATGGTGTCGGGAATTCACTTTCAGGGACAGCGGAAACAGATGCTTTAATGTGTTCCTGCAGCTACTCAAGAATGTATTCTGCAGTCCTAACTTACAAAGGTCGATAAATCTTCCTTACTTACTTCTGGTCACACATACATGTAATTTGATAAGCATAGTGCGATACTGGATTACCAATCATGTTTTGTGATGGTTTAGAGGTTAACGTAAATTTCATTTCATGTGATAAAATGAGCTTAACTGCACAACAAATTCTATAGAGTATATTTTATAAAGTTTGTCCTGTAATATTATCGTGTATAAGATTTAAGAATCCCAGTAATATTCTTCTTATAAAAGTCTTGTTAAATAAAAAGTCAAATTCCGTGGGGTAAAGATAATTCTTTCTGGTATTAAAAGTATGTTTTGTAAGGATCATGTGATAGAGAAGAACACTTGCACACCTACATCATATGCACTTTGAAGCAAGTAGTACATACAACGCTTCATCAGAGCTACGAAAATGAGACTTGCGAAAAGATATTTGAATGCAAGCTTTCATTCATGTAACGAAAAGATATTGAAACTGAATCAAAATAATTGCTTATACTAATGAAATTATACGACAGAATTATCGAAACAAAAAACTGCCATTAGAAGGGAAGTCGGTATCATGAAATGCGCTAAGCATAAATGTAACAAATTATTGCCGTGTTGCTTGTACTGACATACTAGGAACAAAAAGGGTTAAAATGCTTACTGTCAAAGCTGATAGCTTAATTTTTATCGTCTACACTTCTAACTTTGTACAACTAAAGCAATTAAGCTCATATATTTCCTTGAATGAAAACATCCTACGATTTTTCATATCTTGCATTCTGAGAAGAACATAAGTCTTCAAGCTTTGAAGTTTTAGCAACCGTGGTTTTATTTTCACGATGCAGAGTTGCTGGTTTCACACTTACTCTTCACTCTTTTTCAGGCTTACTATCAGATAGGTAACATTTTTGGATGCGCTGATCTGGGATAAAACCTTGATCACTTCGTTATCGTGTATTCGACCATTGTGTCAGTAGGCACCTAATTTTAACCTAAGTTGAGTTTCGCGCGTTCGTTCGTGCCACGCTACTAGAAATATAAAACAAACAACAGCAGTGTATTCATATTGTTACCGACAAACCAGATTTAACTATTTAACTCCATAAGGTTTCATTTTACCACCACTGTTGATGTATACACGAATACTTGGGAGCGACGGAATACAAAACTTTCAGTAAGTAAAATTGAGATGATGTAATGTTAAAAGTACAATGGCTTTCGTGCAGTGTCACTTTCACCATGACTTATTCGATAATCTAATAATACAGATAAACTTCATGCCAATTTCCATAAAAATGTTGATTCAGCTTTTTATTTCACTGGACCTGAACAGTAGAAAATATAAGCATATGTCTGTCTGATGGTTATCACACAATAGACATATACTTCTTAATAAATTCAGAATTCGAGGGCTGTTTTCAGCCATTTTAAAAGTCAACATTTAAGTTTGAAGTGATCTAAAGACTAGTCAAATTCCATTGTTGTCCAAGTACACTTCTAAATAAGGCTAATGAAATAGATAAAACACACAATGGAAGGGATATGAACGCAAAATAAATTCTGAGGGAATTGTGGTACTTTCACATATCTTCAGTGTTTAAGCGGTATTCCTATTAAAACAATTACAACGACTTTAAGATTACCA